ATCATCATCATCTCCACGAATCCACCATTATCGTTCCTCTCAATTCCGACGATTCTCCGATCAGGCGGCGTTACTCTGCTGCACTAATCTCTCTATCTTTAATTTGTTTTTCCTCTATAAGGGTAAAGGCCAAATATAGCTATAGAACAGCTCTGTCTTCCTTTTTGCTTTTTTCAGACGATTTCATTTCAGATTTCGACCAATTTCATCATTTGCATTCGATTCTCTTCGCTTTTTCCTTTGAATTCCGTATGATCCGTTGAAGAAATGTTTCGTATTCTCTTTGAATCGTGATTGGTTACGCCTATAATCGATTGCAGGATTGATTTTGTCATCGGAAATTTCTGAAATGCGTTGAGGAATCTGATATACAGAGGCTGGATTAAGAATCTGTTCGCTTTCCTAGCTCCACTGTGGTAGCTTTGTCAAGGGTTTTTGATTCCCCTGGATTGTTTCAGCCCTTTAGGAATTAGGGTTTTGGTTGTGTATGTCTCCTGAGTCTATGTTGTCGGTGGCACTTAGGAGCAGAGAGATCAGCTGAATCCGATATGCAGAGTAGTGGTGTAAACCGAGATTCTTCTTCAAATGTTTCAATCCCTCAGCTGAAGCGCTTAGGTTCCCAGCAGAAATCCCCTGTCGTATTCCCTGAAAGGCGTAGTAAGAAGGTGAATTCGAGAGTTGATGAGCATCGAATTGATATTGGTGGTGGTGGAGATGAAAAGTCTGATTTGTTAGATGATCTTCTCTACTCTGGGAAGCTTGTACTTGATAAGAGAAAATCTGCTAGTAGTAAAGATGACGCAGACACGGATATGTCAAGCAAGAAAGCAGTGGATGCAAAGCTTACAACCGTAGCTTTGTTTTGGGGCTCTTCCATGCTATTGCTTGATGATGTCGTCGCGGTAATGTTTCATCTGTTTTGTAATTGGTAGCTTGAAAAAATCTTTGTATTGAAAAGCTTGACTCATAATAAACTTATATATGCGCTGTGCTTTATGACAGGTGACCTATAATGTTGGTCTCAGATATTTTACTGTGCATGCTTATCCAATTGGAAAGGGTTCTTGTGGCATTTCATGCTTCATGAAATCAAAAAGGAGGCACAAGGATTTCCGTTTTGTGGCACCGACAGTACTAGAAGCAGTCCAATGGGTAGCGGGTTTTGGGGATAGACAATGTTTTATCCACTGTTTGCCACATCCATTAGTCTCAAAGAAACAGGCTTCATCTGAATTATTTTCGGTCCCCATGGATACTCCTTCTGAAATTGCCATCAGGTGTAAGAGTCCACCTAGAATGCTTGTCATATTGAACCCTCGGTCTGGGCATGGGAGGTCTTCCAGAGTTTTCCACGACATAGTGGAACCAATTTTTAAGGTAACTTCCTGTCTTCTCTTTATTTGTATGCAGCAGTCTTACATCATCAAACTGTTTCCCATCCTTAAGTAGTAGATCAATGGAACTTAGATTTGGCAGAAATTTTGTTTTCTCCATTCGCATTTTGGAAAATTCTCTTCTTTGTATCTTCTGTTTGTATATGATGCCAGAAACTTTAACAGTTGGCAGGAATCAAGTTGGAGGTTGTCAAAACAAATAGAGCGGGTCATGCCAAAGAATTGGCTTCCACTGTCGATATCAGCTCGTGTTCAGACGGTATTACTGCTCGGTGCATTACTGAATGACATGTTTTACTTATCTAGCTTTTGAGATGCTTATCTTTGTCCTCATCATGTCTGTTATCACTCATAAGATTTTATTTATTCTTCTAGGAATAATTTGTGTTGGAGGTGACGGAATCATTAATGAGGTTTGATACTTAACCTTTCTAACGTACTGAATAAATTCTATTTCTTTTAGGCTTTAAGTTCAAAAACTGCTGTTTGTTTATTTCATATTTTACTTCTCATGTTGGTTGTTCAAACTAAACCAACTTCTGTATTGAAGTGAAGAACTTCCTTCGCTATGGTTGTATGTGTTCTTTACACCACTTAGCAATAATTTATTTATATTAAGAGTTTAGTAATTCTTTCACCCAAGATGAGGATGTTTGGATTTTTCGTATAGGTAAATACTTGCTCTGATTGAACTGTAAAGAGCCATAATGACTTTTTCTCATCATTCTGTTTGGTTTGGAGCTTATTAGATAGCTTTAGGTACTTGGGAAAATGTGCGCCATACCACCATGTCTAAAGTCTGTTAACTTGGGATGAACTCTCATTTTCTGCATGTTTCAATATTGCAGGTTCTTAATGGTCTACTTTCCCGAAGCAGTCTGAAAGAAGGAATTTCTATCCCAATTGGAATAATCCCTGCTGGTTCTGATAACTCGCTGGTTTGGACTGTTCTTGGTGTTAGAGATCCTATTTCTGCAGCAATTTCAATTGTGAAGGTACTATGGGTTAGGATGCTTGTTGTGCTGGTTTTATTAGAGTAGGTGCTGACGTTGTTTAGCTTTTGCTTGATTGAACTTTTTTTTATTTAGGGTGGGTTAACAACTATTGATGTCTTCGCTGTTGAGTGGATTCAAACGGGTGTTTTCCACTTTGGAATGACTGTCTCCTACTATGGTTTTGTTAGCGATGGTAAGTGAAAATGCCTAGGTGCTTTTTCTTTAATAGCTGTCTCTGATTTCCAGATTCTCAGGTATCTGGTACTGAAAGTTCTGATTGTATACTTCTGGCGTCTGTGTTAAATTTGTTTTTCTGCTGCAGTTTGCATCCGCCGTGATATAAAAGGAGAAGTTTGTTTACTTTTTTTCCTTAAAGCTTGGTGTGTCTCTTTGCTTTGTGGTTTTTGTTTTCATATTTCTCTACTTCAGCTGTCACAAGCTTATTTTTTCTGGAATTATGCTGTGTCGCACTCTCACTTCTCTGCTGATGAGTTAGGGCTGAAAAAGCCTACTAAGTTGCATAAATTTTAGATATTATAATGATAGTTGGACTCCTGCATAGTGCTGGAAATCTATCACCATTTTCATTAGCAAAGTTACTAGCTTTTTGATATGTTACTTTGAGCTGTGATGCTATTTGACTTCTACGGTTATTGCTGTGAGGTTTCTCTTTTGGCTTTCCGTTGCTATCTGAATTTGATGTTTTTTAACCTTGCTGTCTTTATCTTTTGCAGTTTTGGCAGCCTCTGAAAAATACCAAAAACGCTTTGGTCCTCTACGTTACTTTGTTGCTGGATTTCTCAAATTTTTGTGTTTGCCAAAGTACAGCTATGAAGTGGAATATCTTCCAGCGCATAAAGAGGATCCAGAAGCCCAAAATAGGGGTGATGAGGAAGTCCTGGATATGCAAGACCTTTACACAGATGTCATGAAGAGATCAAGCAGAGAAGAACTACCTAGAGCTTCCAGTTTATCAAGTATCGACTCCGCAATGACACCTAGTAGAGTGTCTGGAGGAGAATTAGACACGTCACAAAGCACACACGCAAGCGCTGAGCCTTCTGACTATGTCCGTGGAATAGATCCCAAAGCTAAACGTCAGTCTTTTGGCAGAAGAGATGTCACAACAGAGCCAGAGGTTGTTCACCCTCAGCTACCTCTTTCAACAACCCCTAATTGGCCAAGAACAAGGTCAAAGTCAAGAACAGATAGAGCATGGGCAGGGTTGACTGCTGTAGATGATCCCTCCACTAGATCCTCTTTGGGAAATGCCGGTACTGCTCATGACAGAGAAGATATATCCTCTACCGTATCAGACCCAGGACCCATCTGGGATTCTGAACCCAAATGGGATTCTGAACCTAACCCTTGGGACGTAGAAAACCCAATTGAGCTGCCTGGACCCCAAGAGGATATAGAAACCAGGTTGAGGAATCAGGTCAGACCGAGGTTTGAAGATAAATGGATGGGTAAGAAGGGTAATTTTCTAGGCATCATGGTCTGCAACCACGCTTGTCGAACTGTACAGAGTTCGCAGGTGGTGGCTCCAAACGCTGAACACGATGATGGAACCATGGACATGCTCTTGGTTCACGGGTCTGGTCGATTGAGATTGCTGAGATTTTTTCTGCTTCTCCAAATGGGTCGACACCTTTCCCTCCCATATGTTGAATGTATAAAGGCAAGTTTACTTGTCATTTATGGTTTCTGGAACTTTGGAAATTGGTTTTGGATTTAGTTAATGTTGGGTCATCATTTTGCAGGTAAGATCTGTGAAAATAAAAGCTATGAGACAGACGCATAATAGTTGTGGAATAGATGGAGAATTATTCGGACTGAACGGTCAGGTTGTATCGAGTATGCTCCCGGAACAATGCAGATTGATCGGTCACTCGCCTTCGCAGCATCATCATGTATAAAAAAAATGATGGAGAAAACAGAAGAAAGTTCAATCTAATTTTTGGTCGGCCTTAAAGTTCAATCGAATGAGTAAATCTTTTTTCACCTTTTCCATATATACATCCTTTTTTTGTCTCTCTAATTTTTACTCGGGTTCATGTGTTTGACAGATTGAAACTTGTTTGGTAAAATTATAATGTAATTTTTTGTGTGCTAATTGCATCAACATCCCTAGAAATGTGGTTAATGTTTTAAAAATACTAGATTTTTATTCTTGTTTTCAAAACTAGCACCAAAAATTTAAAATTTCAAAAATAGCACACATACACATCATTAGGTTTAAATACTTGATCGATAGGTTATCTTATCAGTTTGATAACTTTCGATGGCAAATGACGGTGGAGACGGAGACGGAGACATCACCACCGTCGCTGTAAGAATCCCTAACCACCACCGCGAAACCAAAGAAGCAGAAGATTCAAGCAATTGTGCAGACTTGATCCTCCAACATATCCTCTCTTTTATTCCGACAAGATTCGCCATCAGAACTTCTGTCTTGTCCAAACGATGGAAGCATATATGGTCAGATACACCTTCTCTTGACTTCGATTTTTAGTATTCAATGGAAAAACCTAATGCTGATTTAGTAAATCAAACCCTAACTCGCTACACGGCTCACAAGATGATGAGTTTCCATCTTTGTACCACCATATGATCGAACATATGCCTTACGTTGACGGATGGATCGAGTTCGTTATATCCCGAAACGCGGAGATTATGTCGCTGAATCTTCTTGTTGATAATTACAATATTCCTGATTTCTTCTATACCAATTTCTCGTTGAAGCAACTCACAGTTTCACTATACTTTAACGAATGGAATATTCCCATGAGCTGCTTAGTATCTTGGACATCTTTGAAGATGCTGACATTGCGTTGTTGCCCTTTCTCTAACGAATGCATCGATAAAATTATATCAGGTTGTCCAGTGCTGGAAAGTTTAAAGTTGTATAACTGCAACAAACTGATGATGAAGGTTCTTGATCTCACCAAACCACTTCGTTTGAGAAGTTTAGAAATAGATCAATGCAAATGGGTGGACATGGGGACGGTTGAGATTGTTGCACCACAAATTCATTATCTCAGATTGACAAACTCTAAACGACCATGTATTTTAGTTGATGTCTCGTCTCTAACCGAAGCTAGACTAGATCCTTGCTTTCCGTTATATGAAGAACTGCAGAGTGATTTGGTACTAAAGATGCTAGAGAAGTTGCATAATGTGGAGAAGCTTACGTGTGGAGCAAACTTTCTTAAGATTTTATCACATGATGAGTTTTTGGCAGTGTTCTTTTCCCGAGCTTAAAGGTCAAAAAAATTGAGGCTTGAGAGTAAGGTTGCACAAGATGTAATTCATGGCTTGGTAAGGTTGCTACAAAACTCACCTGAATTGAAGAAGCTAACGGTACACGGCACTATACCGGAGGAGTACTATAATGACAAACTACTTGGATATGCAAGGTTTGAAATCATATCAGTGAACAAGGGTCTTTGATATGTTGTAGTATATATTACTTCTTTTTTTATTTTTCTTAGGTTTTTTTACTTATGATTAAAGAGGGGTTTTCTAGAATTTTGTTTCTCTCATCTGAAAAATCTGATCATTCGAGAATTT